CTTACATTTACTGTTCAGATCTGTTATTAAAGTGTTCCTCCTCATTTCCCTCTCAGCCAAGAACTGTATCAGGGGTACTATGACGCTTTCATCACTAGGATCAAGCAACTGGAAAGAACAATCAAATATGAAATATTGAAAACATGAGTCTTGATAAGATATTTTCCTGACATACCTCAGTGTATCTTACAGTGCGGATGTTACAAGTGACTGGGGACTTCTCATCAAATGGAGCAAGATTTCACAGGGTTTGAAGGAGGATGGTGTCAGATATAATGAACACTAGCCAGTGTGGGAACGAATAAAAGATGGCAAAAATCTGTGAAAGTACAATCTATTGCACAACAGTAAGAATTACCCATGTTCTGCATGTTCTTACGTATTACTTTCTAAGACAACAGCTCGTGGCTTCACACTTTGTGCATGTATTCTAGCTTCATATCATGACACAAATGAATGAAATTAATAAAATCATCACTCTGCTATACTTTATCAACAGTACCTCACTGAAAATGATGGGTGAATGGAAAAAAAAAAAAAAAAAAAAAAAAAGAGAAAGGTGGATCAAGGCAAAGTAAGTTTTTCAGTTGTTTCCATACCTGTAATGCTGGAAATGATGGACCCATGCTGTAAGCCAGTGTCTTCTGGGAGGTGCCTAGAATTAACAACAGATAATCATCTCCTATGGGTTAATTTTTTTTCAAGAACAATACTTTTTCTAAGAATTACATCTGCTGTGCTCTGTTACTATGATATTCTCTTCAATCAACACATGTAGCCTCATTTCCTGAGGAAGAATACTGACAGACACCAAAAACAATTGGAAAGACAATAACTCTAACATTAGCTGTTGATTGAAGAAAATATCACAGCAACTGTCGCCTATCTATGCTTCGTAGCATGGGTTAATTTTTAGTTCTAATAGCCATGCGTGTACATGTAGCATGTAGTTGGCATCTGACATCTTGAACATTAATAAAATAACACTCGAGAATATTTGACTCAATTTCTGATGACGAAAAAATTGGAACAACTGTGACAAACTGAAACAGCAACTGGCTACTGCTATCAAGGGATCACTTTTACCGGGAAGACTCTAGCAAGCTTTAATACTAGCAGCTGACTATTTTCTTGGCAGATGATGATCTTGGAGAGTCGTACAAAAGGATGAAAAATGGATACACACAAGAACACTGTACACCACCAACAATAATTAGGATTAAGCTTGGGTTAGTACAAAAGTAAAGCTTTTTTTAATGAGTAGCCCTGATAAGTCATTTTACAGAGAGAGGGAAAGAGAGAAAGAGAAGGAGAGAGATAGAAGAATAAAAATATAAACAAATAAATAAATAAATAAATTAAATTTGGTATAAAAGCACTACTCTTTGACCTTAAATCAACACAAACAACCAAACAACACACTCATTACCATGCCCAAAGTTCCTGCATGCAAATTTCTGCCAAGCACTGTATGCCAGGCCTGCATTTCAGGGAGAGGAAGAAGAAAAAAAAGTACATGGTTATTTATGCTTAAGAATTCTGCCAAAAGCACATAGTAAGGATGCTTCAGCACAGGTTATTCTAAGCAAGTATTTGGAAAAAATGATAAAAATATAATTGAAAGCAGTAAATTCAAATAAAGGCTTAACAGGCACAAGGGCAAAAGGTTTGTCTCAAAATGAAGCAACTTCTGGGTTTGATTAGCATTTAATAATTCATGTTTATGAGGTGTAAATAACTTTGAAAAAGGTACAATTTATATAAAGTATTTAAGGGAAAAGTATCAAGTATCAATGTCAAATGCCCCCATCACCACCAAACAAAAATTCAAATTCCAACAAAAAATTTCACACTCTGAACTGTAACAAATAACATTTTTCAGATTCAAAATAAGATCTATAAAACTATTTTCTTACTTCCTTCTTCCCCCATCTTGGTCATAGCCTCCTTGTACTGCTGGTTCATCCTCCTGCGTCCCTTGGCCAGTCCATAGTCAAACTGGACCTGCTGTGGTCTGGCCACCTGGACCTCCTGGGTCACCTCTGCAAATCTCATCACTTGCTGGAACACAACACAGCACAGCATATCAGGGACCAATAAGGCTAAATTGCGATTGTCATTATTTTAATAATTAAAATTATCTACACAATAAGACATACAAGGACATATACACGTTCATATCACACTGCATATGAAAATGAAAAGATTGCCTACATGTAATTATTCAGAACATATGACACATGTTGATAATAAATAAATAAATAAATAAATGAAAAAAATTAACACGTTTATTAGCTATAACTTACAATGCTTAATATTCCCTAACAGCAAGCAAGCCACACAATGTATGTTGACATTAAAATAACAAAACTTGAATTTTCCAAGAAGTATCAGCTCTCAATTATTTATTTTTATTTTTGCTATATAGGGGTATAGGATTTATGCTTTTAAACACGCAATGCAGATTCCAGCCTGTCAATCAAGCCAGTAGATTGTGTATTTTTATCAAAATAGTCATCAAGATATTCTACTAATGACTGACAGATGTAAACAAGCAGTCTGTGTGTCAATGATAAGGGAAAATGCATTTACATGTAAAAAAATGTTCAGATTTCATTCTCATCTGAAATTCCATAATTCAGTAGAAAATATTGTGGATAGAAAAAAAAAAAATTAAACTGAACCAGAATTTCTTTTCCCTTGATGTGAGATTAGCTGAACACCAAGTACATGTGGAAAAAACAAATAAATAAAATAATAATAAAACTCCCAAGGTGATAAAAACCAGGGAGATAAGGATGAAAAAAGTTAACTGTGGTCTACAGTCTGCAAGGGTAGACAGAGACATGCTTTTTTCACATTTATCTCAAAATATAACAGTCAGCTGCCAGCAACTAATCTGATATCTTATCAGATAAAACTTACCTGCCGCACACAGTCATCAATAGTGATTAATAAAAACAGAGTGCAATTTAACTTCTGTTACAATATGAGAACCACAACAACTAACCACTGTCTCGTCATACTCCTTGGCTGCTGGGTTAACGGTGACAATCATGCGGACTTTCCCTTCACCATCAAAGTAGTTCTTGAAGAGATGGGTCAGTTTGGAGTCCCTGTATGGCACCATCTGGAACAAGAGAAGAACAAGGTTAGTAATATGAAAATTAGATGTATTTGAATGCACCTTGGCTGATATAAAAAGCAGAAATTGCTAATGATTTAGACCATTAGTTACTTTCTTATTGTGAACTAGCATGGATTTATTCTGAACTGAAGTGGACCAAATTTTTTAGTCATAAAATTAACACTTTCAGTCTTTTAATTCTTCTGTCAAAATAAGACCTGGGGTATTTTCCTAAGCATAGTTTTAAATTATCTCTGTATGAATCACCAAACAGCATGATAACCTATCTGCCATAAATTTCAAAAACACTGCACTTGCTGAAACAACAACCTTAAGGTCTTCAGTCAATTTTTTGATACAAAAATGTCATATTGCATCCACCTACCTTGTTAGCTCCTAGAAGCTGATTCTCTCTTAATGCATCCATGCACGCTCTGAGTGCCATTAAAGACTGGTTGATGTTACCTAAATATTGACAAAATAAATAGCAAGACTAGTTTTAAAATCGGATTTAAAACCAATCCCCTTCACCTTAAATTTACTTTGTAAATTAGTTTCAGAATGTTTTTTTTTCTTTCAAATTTCATGGAGTCATATATTATGTAGACTAATAGATAAAAACAATAGAAGCATAAATTCATTAAAAACAAGTTCACCACTTAAAAAATTTCTAACCTAGACGACAACAACTGGGTTCATCATAAAATCATAACCAAATACTGAACACATTCTTATTTAATTAAGAAAAATATAAAACACATCTCTGATTTTTATAAACTCAGTACTAATTAATAAATCTGACTTTGCAAAAATAAATTCAATCTAGAAGACGCCCTTAATTTTGTATTGAAGTAAAGTGTCAACCCACCAGCTTCTCTCAGCCTGTCCCCAACATTGTTTGTCCTCACTAATCTCTCACTTCCAGCAAGGTCTACCAGGGCTAGCTGACTGGAGCACACCCGAGACTTGTCCTGCATTATAATTACAACATAGTTATAAATAACAGGTAAATAACATTGAAAATAAAGACAATCTCTGGACAGGAAATAAATAGACCAAAAAAAAAAAATGTTTTAAAAAACTTACAAATCTGAAAATTGGGACAATTATTGGTGTTATATTACAAATCTTAGATATCCAAATGAATACAGGAAACTCTTTTCCTTTTGGTAAGTTTAAAAATATCAACAAACACAGACACAAACTGTACTTCTACTTCTCTATTCAACCAGAAAATATTTGAATACACCCAACTGATCTTGTTTAATTAACAACAATGATAAATTCTTGTTTATTAACAATGATAAACTATCTGTGTACCTGTAAAACCTCCTCCCCAAGAGGATCCAGGGGAGCCTGCACCAGTCTGATGTTAAACACACTGTGACTACGACTGGACTCTGTATTGAGAGCAGTGTGAGCCACCTTCCTTCTTTTCTGACCTGAACATAAATACAAGAACATCTCAGCCTGTGCCTGGAACTATTTTATCCCATAAATCTGATTGCTGGAATCAGCAGCCATTAAAATACAAGTCTGAAGATGAATACTATAGATAATGGAAAAAATAACTTAAACCTTTATCAGTAGCTACATTTCCACCATTTAAAAAAAAAAAAAAAAAAATTACAAACCATACATCATTCAGACTAGCGACTACTAGTAAGTGGTCCAAGATAACACACAGAGGATAAATCTGCAGTAGAAAATAATTCCAATACATGTGACAGGAACCAACATGAATATATTATAAGAGGCAACCCTCAGCATGAAGTATGTCCGAGCATTTTAAAAAAGTTACCTTTGAGAAGAACATCAAAGGCTTCCTCAGCACTCTTCACCTCAACCTCTGTGCAGTTGCTCACATACATGCTGCGGTCACCATCTTCCCTCAGGATCTTGGAGTTGGGCGCTCTACAACAAAAACATACACGTCCATGGAGACATCTGTCACTCTTTCCTGATCATCTATTTTTCTGCATGCTGACCATGTGGCATGATATACTTTAAAACATCTAATTTTGATATGTTATGATTCGTCCCTTTGTCTCGACAGAGTAAAACTGTCACAGATTCTAGTTATTTCCATAAATCAATTTCCAATGTGAACATCACTATCATCAATCCTGCATTACTTATGTTGTGTTGACTACTCNATTTTTTTGCGTCAATTTTAGGATTCATGCGTTTTTTACGCATGACGCAGAGGTAAATAAAACACTGTACTCTTCTTTACTAAGTTGTTACAGATGTGGTGGTTGTTAAGAAGAAGAGGGGTGAGACACTACATAAACTGTTTAAGACCTTAACTCACACATAAAAACATACATTTAGTGTTTTGATTCATATCACAAAATAGGTTTTTTAAATTGTGATTTTTTAAGTGCAAGTCTTTCTAAAACTATATAATTTTTGTTAGGAGCATTGTCTTTTTTATTACCTGTAGCCTGTAATTGGGTCATAAGGAAGCTCCTCCAGAAGGTCATAGATGTAGTTGTTATAAATCTCAATGTAGGACACGAACACTGCATAGTTGTTATCCTCCTCAATATCATTCACCCTGGATGGGTCTGTGATCCTGGGGGCATCGCCAAACTCAGTCTTCTTGCTGTTCTTTGGTGTGGCGGGGGTGCGTGGGGCATCGAACCTGGGCATGACGTCTCGCTTCTGTCTCTCCACCATGGCGTCAGCCTCTGTCTGGACATCATAGCCATTCATTTTGTCTGGCATGAACACCTAATAAGGAGGTATGATATCTTGCACTATTCTAATTTCAGTTATCGTATGTAATGGCTGAAGAAGTAAACACGAAATCATGGACATTTCTTGGCTTTAATTAAAAAACTGCTGATGCACATAACTTCACATAAGATACACACACAGCTGAAACTATTTAAATATTTCCTGACATTCATTAATGTGATTATCCACATGGCACCACAACTAAATTGGATGTACCACCAATGGGCATTAACCCAGGGGAATACTCTATCTACTCACATATTTCTTGGCCTGTACTGAGGAGATGCTGTTGAAGATCATATCCAGAGACCTGACCAGAGTACCAGGGTCTGAGGGTTTCCCTGTCATGGTGTACGTCTTGCCGGAGCCTGTCACGCCATAGGTGAACATCAAACCTGTGGATAGCAAACAGTGTGAAAATGTATTTACAAGGTATAAGTATAATATCAGAAGCTTAACCTCTAAACCTCACTTGTGTTTGCTTATTCAACAACAACAGCAAAATCCAACTTTAGTCAACAAGAAATGATTAAATTATTTAACCACATTTCAATTTCTTCAGATAATTCAAAACCTGGATCTTGTTTTTTAACCAACCAAAAATATTTATGTAACAAAAACCACATATAATTCATACTTACCATTCTTCCCTCTGAGCAAGTCCTCCACAAGTGGAGAGGCCACAGTGTCAAACACGGCCTTCTGTGAAACATACTCGTCAAACACATACTTGAAGGCATACTGGGTCTGGAAAAGAAGTTCAACGAGAGAAAATGAGATCTCCAGTCCTCCACAATTAGACAGCTCCACGTTAAAAACTGCCTTCTGTGAAACAAGGTTGTTGAACACATATCTGAAATCATTATGGGTCTGAAATAAAATGACAGTTCAATAAGAGAAAAGGAGACCTCAAGTCCACTATAACTGGAGAGATTAATGTTTATCACAAAGGACAAAATGAAAAATTTCTTGTGAATTATAAATATCACGTATATTCGACAAAGAAAATTCTATTTAGCAGCCAGGCTATTAGAGCAAGCTACAAACATAGCATAAACACACTTGCCTTAAAAAAATAAAAATAAATAAATAACATAAAACTGCCGTGCTAAAACTCTTAGAGTTTCTGAGCTCCTTTATAAGTTGTCCTTATAAAATGGTTGGACGATCCCTTTTGGAGCAACCCTGTGTAACTGGTTGTAATCAACTGCTTCATGACACAGTTAAAACTAAAGTAAGTTGCTACATTTATGACTCAGGGTTTGTTTTATTTTACTCCAAAAAATCATCTAATCATTTTACTAAGTTTCAAACTGATACATGTTTACTATGAATGAAGTGTCATGTTTTATGGGTCTTCTTCAACAAGTGCATTGAACTACATTATTATGTAAAGAAATATTTCTTAACAATCTCCTTCGCATCTGTTAGATAGAAAGACAACCAAGTACTTTATTTAGGCCAGTCATATGGTTTCTCCTTGAAACAATGTTCATGAATCAAAGGTTCCCATTAGAATGACAACATCATAGTTGCTAAACCTACTACAACATCCTCATTCAAGTTTTAAAAAATGCAGTTCACTTTCTTCATGCATACATTTTTCACTACATGCAGATTTCTTGTTCACTTATTGACTATATACAGGCAGGGTGAACCAAGTTCACCATATCAAGAACAACAACTAATATAGTAATGACTTGACCTTTTCGATGAAGAAAAATTATCAAACTTCCAGATACATCATTTTATAATGATGAAATTATATTTCCATAAATCATTTGTTGTGCTTTTACTACACAGAACTATAAAGTAGCCTGCTTTTTTCAATAATGTTGCTACCACTCAATAACAAATGTTTTAATCCTAATAAATGATGACTTAAAATTTTAGAATAGATCTGTAAAAATCACAATTTTCCATCAATTAAAAAGATTAATTTCCAGATATGCTAGGTCATTTGTACTATAACATCAATGTACTTGCCAAGTTTAGCATATATTTCCACCCTTGCTGACCATGTCTGACTTGACAAGCATCAGTAGAAATATATAAATATATAGATAAGGTTCTCTTCTGCCCTCTACAGTAATAATCTAACATTTCCAAATTGGACAATGAATTAGTCTGACTCCACTTTACCTCTTTGTAGACACCATTCTTGTAAGCCTGGGAATTCTGAGAAAATAAAGCGACGACACAATTAGCAATTACCAAGCAGTCATCATCATCATCATGAAATAAGGAGAAGAAAAGGAAAGCCAAATATGGATAGAGAATTCAACAAAGGTAACCTCCACCTAGCATGCACTGATTAAGTGTGTGTCCCTTCAATCTAGACACATAAATAAAATGCTTATTAAAAACAAAGGAACAATGCATTAGTTGGAAATTGAAATATTAATAAATAATATCTCCAATGTGATTTCTACCATTTGCAATACAATGTTTGATGTACTTTGAAAGATTCACATAAAAAATTGATATAGTTACTCACTTACTAGTAAGTATAAAATACTGCAATTTATTTAATATGTTGGAAAATTTGTCGTGGGGTCCAGGAGGCTGCCTGGGCCAATCATTTTTTGACTGCCAAAAAGAAATCCGCAAATAGTCAGAAAAATCTCATCCCTGACTTGTGACTTGTCACTGTATTTATACTTCAAGGTTGCCTTTCACTATCGATAATGGGGTCATGATGAAGTTGCCACCATAGGAAATTGATGAATTTTCAACGGAATCAACAACACCATTGACCAACATGAAATATTAGTGCTGTGTAAGTAACTAGGTTAAGTCCAATCCTAGTTAATAAGGGGTGTGAAATATAGTTCAGTAGAAAGAAAAGAGACAGGGCAGGCAATTAAACATTCATCAAAATATTGACCCAAATAGGCTTGAATTAGAAAAGTAAAATTATTTTTAAAGCATATCATGTAATTTTTTCATTTAGATATCACAACTTTGACAAAATGGATATTCAGCTGCTTTTTGGCCTAATGACATAACTAATCAACTAATAAATTACTTACAGCCTTTGACGTAAAACTATCTCAACACAAGAATCTATCCATCATATTACTTCCGATCCAGGTTTAGGGATCATCCATTTTTATCATTTTCACAAGTCTACAAAGAGTAGGGTAGCGTTTGAAGACTTGTGATAATGATGATAAAATTGGATGACCCCTTAGACAAAATTGAAAAATTAATAATCTAGACATATTAAGGTATCAGAAGTTCCCTCTACTATAGTGCAAGAAACAACCCCTCCACCAAAAAGTGATCAGGACTCACTTATCTGCCATACAGTAATCATCAGTCAAATGCAAATGCTTAAGACATCAATTTGGCTACAGAAAATACCAAATGTTTTGTCACCCTCTTGGCTCACGTGAAATATCTTTTTTGATGCAAAATATGTTCTTTGGCCAAATTAAAATAAAGAAAATCCTTCCTACTTCCAAAGATAAATTGACTTCAACATTTCCATTTGACTGAAACTGGACTCACAAGAGAATGAGCACAGTTCAACAACTGCAGAAATAAGTTTCTTTCTCAAGGTGGCAAATGAAGCCGACTTTCTGACAGAACCCTCACCTCTGATGGGCTGATCTGGACAGTTCTTTCATCCAGTAGTTTCACACAGGTCTCTATATTTGGATCATCTGGTGGTCTGATGCGACAATAAACCTAAAATATAATTATAATAATAAGTAAATGAATAAAATAAAAAAAGTTAAAAATTAAAACACACGGTGACCCTTTTTAAATTAACTTTATATATATAATAAAGCTAAGCTCAACCTAGCAAAATACTTTAAAACAAATCTGAATTGGCTACAGCAAATGTTAAAATGCTTTCTTATAACATTTTTGTCACATCTATTAGCTTAAATTTGTATCAATTATCCATGTACTTGACCAAATAATGGTAAATCTACAGTGAGGCATGTAAAGCCTGTCGCTATAAGTTTGCTAGGCCAAGATGTTCCATCTTGTATACAAAGCACACCTTGCATGAGTGAATGAAAGATACAATCGTCTATTTCTTGGTCTTTTGTTCTAGACAGGTTGTGGTAGAAGTGAGCAAGGAGAATGTGAAATCCACCAGAGCTTTGGCCTTTGCAATTGTGGGTTTGACACAACCTTGCTGACATCAATTTTTGAAAATGAGAAAAAACAGTGATGAAGATTCAAAAGATGCCTGCTGTATGGCATAATTCAACTGAAGATGTTTCCCTATAAATGATATCACACTGACAGCTATGACCTAAGAAAATAATCTAACCTCCACTGGGTCCTTTGGCTGTGAATTCTGACGAGGGAATTTCCTGGGTGTCTTTCCTCTTCTGAAAAAGGAATAGTAAATAATTCAGTAAAAATGGACTTGACAGAGCATAAAATTATATCAAAAGCTTTTTCTCTACATCTAATCAGATTGAATTTCCGTTAATGGTTAGATAGATAGATGAAGGTTGGTTTTTGGTTGTGCACAGTAGTCTCTGCTGCTACAGCCATTATACAATGGTCCTCTGAACACAGTTGCCAAGCTTTTGTAATGGAGCATCTTTCTTTTCTTTTTGCTTTGGACTTCCAGGTAGATTACCACTAAGATGTATGGGCAGCTGCACTTTGCTTCACTGTTGCCCGATCATTATTTCATTTTTGTACTGAATTTATATTGAGTGGGTTCTCAATCACCAAACTGTGTAAGGAAATCGTACAAAATCGTTAAAACACTTTACCAACTTTGTTCTAGGTTTTGTACTTTAATTATTAAATGTTTTAAACTAAGACCTTTTATGCTTTTTTTTAGATTCACCAACTAATCACGTATATAGACGAGCGTGGATTCACAAGTGACTACTCCAAAGGTGACTTTACGCTGGATACAAAACAACTGGATGAGAAATTAGAGAAGAAATAGCTATTCAACGTATTTCAGACAACGAATAATTGACAGAGGCAACATTTTCTGTAACTGTAGAACTAGCAGACTTCAAGTCGATCAGTCCTGCCAGCCGCAATTTTCTTTCGAGTCTTGAACTGAATACACCTTCTGATGAAGGTTCTACTATTTCTGAGTTACACTCAGATGTGAGTTTTACAATTTCTAAGGACATGTCAACTACAAAACATAGAGTTTACTTACTGTGGCTTCATTATTTCTTTTCCTCTGAAGAATGTGCACTTATCTATTTCCTTTCTGCTGCTTTTCAAATAATTCGAACCGGGAAACTGACCAATCAGACTGCGCTATTTTACAACACGCGCGCGCCATCTGAGTCCAAGACAAGCCACCAGTACATCCTGTTGGAAACGCACAAACCCAACATAGAGGTGCATTACAGCAGATTATTATAATTTTTTACAGCGTTATACTTGTAGGAGATGACTGAATTTTTAAAATGAGTAAAACGTTTCACAGCTGGATGTTTTGCATTTGTGACAGTTACGTAGGCCTATGTTCCTGTTTGGGGCTAGACGATGAATTATTTTTTATCAATCATGGTTTCAGGAGAGTACGTGAAACCAAGGAGTTATAACTCCTTGGTGAAACTTTGATAAAAACTTATTCATGTGGGACCCTAAAATAATCAAACAAAGTTTGCAATCTGTGCACTAAATATTTTCAAGAGTATGCCCATGACCTCAATTGCACATCTACTTTGGGTTTGGGTGAAAAATATCCTTGAGAATAAATACTTAATTGTAGCCTAAAATAGCGATACTGAATTTTGTGTATTTGCCTCTAACTTTACAATTTTATATTCAGTACAATTTAATATTAAATTAAACATTTCAATCGCAAGCTTGTATGCATCTGGTTTAAAGTAAAAGGAAACACCCACGGTGACCTTCCTGCTACATGTACGTAACAAATCTCGTTATTTGGGAGGGAGGATCTGGGCAATTTTAATGCAAATTAAATCAGCCGATAAATTGCCAAACTTCCGGAAAGTATAAGTGCCTTATGTGCCTAAAACAATCTGCAATCGAGCTTCATTTGACACTGGCTGAATGGATGGCAGTGAAATGTAGTTTGATATTTTTATGACAACATTTAATTTATTTTTCGTCCGTTACACGATCTTTGCAAGTCAGTGGCGGATTAAGGGGGGGGGGGGGTCCTGACACCCCTTCGATTTATGGAAAAATCACTGCAATGATCCCTCTTGAAATTAGAATTTTGACCCGAACCCCACGCCAATGGGGTTTCGCATCCCCGAAACCCCCCCCCCCCCCCCCCAAACCCGCCACCCCCCCCCCACCCCACCCGCCGCTT